TCATGGTGCAGAAGACAGAGCACAGATTTTGGGGGGAGAATCTCAGCCCCCCCCACTTAATAGCTAGGCAGCTTTAAGCAAATCACTTCCCCTCTCTGTGCCTTGTTGTCTTCACCTGTAAAACAGGTCAGGTTAATAATACCTCTCTCACAGGGTTGTTGTGAGCATCAGATGAGATAATTTCTGAGAAAGTACTTTGTAAACTCCTAAATGCTATACAAAGGTTAACTATTTTCCCATAATGTGGTTTATAATTGCATGTGTTTAGGTATTCCATGAGTCACAATGTTATCTCCAAAAGCTAAGGCCTGATATAAGTTATTCTGTGACACACATATTAGTCCTCTCCCTGGGTGGAAGCATTATAAAAGGTTAGCACTATATTAAGTAATAGATCTATTGCTCTACTAAATTATTCATGATTACGTGTTCAGCGAATGATCAGTTTGATTGAAATAATCGTCAGGTGTTCTCAGGGCTCTGGAGAGGAAGCTGATAAATGACATAAGGTTTCTTCACCCTGATGACTTTGCTCCTATTAAACATCAAGAAAAACCAATTAATGAAATCTGTGAAAAAAAAGTCATCAAGTTATAGTCTGGAGTGTTAAAGGAATTATCTCTTTTTTGATGAATTTTTCTTTCAACCAATCAAAGCTTTTCAGTAAAAGTTTCAGAGTGGTGAAGGATTTCAACCATTTTTGGCAGATTAGGTTTTGGATAAGAAAGAGAAAAACCCATTTCTTTTTCACAAGGAAAGACATTTTAATTTGTTGTTGTTGTTAAATGGGTGAATGAATGTGTTTGGTTCATTCTGGCTGGGAATTTTAATAGTCATTGAAAAGGTTTGTGCTGAGCCTCTTCTCAGAAAATAGGTGCCCTCCATCTCTATCTCTGATTTCTCTTGTGGGCTCTGGAACCATGACAGTGACAATCAACATGGGAATTCTACTTGGGTACCCTGTTGTCATCTCAAACTGCTCACATCTAAAATGAAACTAATTTCCTCCTCCGCCATCTCCACCACCACAATCACCTGACATCCCCATTTCTGTCAGTAGCCCAACATTCTTCCCATCTCACATGCTAAAATGCTTTGAAGTTGTATTTGTCTTCCAGTACCAATCAATATTTCTTATATCCACTATGTTCACAAGTCCTGACTTTTATCTGAAAATGTCTCCTGTGGGACCTTCACTCCCTGCACATCTCCTACCACCAGCCTAACCCCAGCTTTCACGTAGTATCATGGCAGCTCTGACTGCAACGGTTGGCCTTCTCCAGTTCCTCCTGAATCTTTCCACAATACCACTTTCATTACACCATTACTTCTTGTGTAAATAGCAGTGGCTTTCTATTGCGTGCTGCATCAGGAGTAACTCCTCTCTTGGTGTAGCTTTTCTTTGTCATATGTTTCCCAAGATTTGCTGGGACTCTGCTCCTGCACAGCTTGGCTTAGCCAATTCATCCACCTGCCTCCCCACTCCTTTGAAGCTCTGATTGTCTAAGTTCCTTGGGATTGGCCTTGGGAAGGGACCTTGGGAAAGGCTGGAAACAGGTGGCCAGAAGGTGTTTCAGAAATTGAGGTCCACCAACCCCCAACTTCAATTTTTCCTTTTTTCTTCAATTTTTCACATCTGGGACCCTTGCTTCCTATTGTGAAAAAGCAAGTATATGCTATATGGATGTGCAGTAGATCATTTTCATTCTGGTGGGGAAGCATTCTCCCCAACGTTGGCATCTGCAGCCCTGGATCTCTGGAAGTGACGAGGTGGGAGCTGGGATGGCATTGATAAAGTCCATGTCATCAGTAAGGGTAGGATAGAAATGGCAGCAGACACCCCAGATGGTATAATAGGGTGTGGGGGACATGGCAGAACTTGAATGTCTGTAAGCATTAGCAGGAGAAAGAGGATATGGGGAGAGGAAGATGGAGTTGGGGTGGAGTATTCCACTAGGAGGGCCCTCAAACCAGAGGTTATTAATCAAGTTAGTAACTTGATCCATGCCCACTTATCTAGAAACTGTGGGAAAATGATAGTAGGTGGGGTTAGTTTTAAAGTAACAGTGCCCAGCTCATAGAGGCACTTACAAATGTGAAAGTGTTTATTGTTAAAAAATGATGAGTTATCGGATTAATTCAAACAACTGAATTTTGTAGTTTGTATTGGTTAATAATCATGTTCCTCTTCAAGATCATTAAAGATGCAACTGAATTTTTAACTAATATATGCAAAGCATCTATCACAATTTCTAGCTGCTAGTAGGTCCTTAATAAAAGGGAGTGCTTTTACCTTTCCCTTTCCCTGAATTCAATAATTTAAAGAAAATTACTCACAAAGGTAAATAAAATTTAAAATCTCCCTGTGGGCTGTTTTGCTCTAGTTCATGGAAATCTGAAAAGTCCTCAAGAAGTAGAAGAAAAGATCTGGGGGTAAGAGGAACAAGTACAGGTGTTGGTTATACCTGTCTCAGATATAGGTGTAGCACATACATCTCAATGTAGGTGTAGAATATGGAGGCGGACAGACTCCATGCAAACACTTCCAGCCCCGACTTGCAGGCCCACTCTATCACTATATAACTGAGATGTATTTGCACAAATGAGTTCCAATTTGAGAAAGCCAGTATATGGAACTCTGAACTTGTAAAACAAGCAGGTTATGGGTGATTATTACAAAAGAGTCTTTTCTCTGAAAGATATACATTGAGTTAAAAAATTTTGTCACATGGAATCTGTTGCATGAAATGAATTCTATCTGGGTGAAAAGTACATTAATATCGATCTGAACAAATCTGTAAAAACAAGGAATTTCTGATGTTGCTATTCTTGTTTTTCTTCTGTATTTGGAATTTTTAGAAAAGGCATACTTAAAATTCTTAAGAAGTCTTAGGAAGTTCATTAACTCCGTAGCCTACTGTTGTATACCACTGAGTGCCCATCTTCTGTAGATCGTTTCCCTCATAGTCTCCATATTCCATTTTCTAAAATGTATCACTTATTGAAGTAAGTTTTCATCATATCTTGTTTCTTTACTATCCTATTCATGATAACATTTTATATGTTCTATATATAGAAAAGGATTGGTATTTGGCAATTATCTTCTCTTTCTCTCTAATTATTGCTTATTGCATGTCTTTTGGAGTCTAGGTGCTAATACTCTGCTTTTTATCATCTTATAAAATAGATATGTTAATGCATATATAACCAGGTATTAAAGATTTCATCGTTTCACTTAAATAATTATTGACTTCCAGAAGGATATGTGTATATGTAGCTTAGAAACAACATTTTAGAAACTTGTTTGATAACTTGCCTCTCAACATCGTGTAATTCTCAGGAAGGTGAAGGCAAGTCTTCTGGGGCTGAAATTCCCTAGAGTTTTTATTCTCTTGTCATGTCTAGTTTTTAAACCCCTCTTGAGGATTACGGTAGCAGAAGAAAATACTACCAGTGGCTTTCATGTGGCACCAAATGTCAGAATATATAAGCACTTAGCATTGACTGAGCTGTGGTGTTTCTTCCACAGTATATTAAAAAACAAATATTCTTCAATGCCTATTTTAAAAATATGAATCATTGGCAGGGATTTTTCTAATCCATCTTTATGTTCATACCAGAAAATAAGTTACCAAGATCTTTGTGGCTAGTCAAATGCTTTCAAGAAAACACAAGTGACTTTGATTTCCAATTTTTATTTGGTTTTGAAGAGAGAAGTAACATATTTTGCCTCATGGATAGAAAGATCTCCTAAAACATGACTCTACTGCATTGATGTAGTATATTTAAGAGTCATCTAGAAGCTGTTTGTAATTACGATGAAGGATTATGATAATGTTAGTGTGTGAGTCAGAACCTCTCAAAATAGCATTTCCATGAACAGATAATTTTGAGAAAACAGCTACAAAAGGGTGAATTAGTCTAATACTTTGGGGTCTCCCATATGTCTAGACTTTTGCCTTTTAATCTGGAATTTTTTTCTCGTCCGCCTATTCAATTTTCAAGATTCAAAACATGTTACCTCTCTTGTAGGATGCTCTCGGCAACTCCAGATATTCCTTTCCTTTTCTGAGTCTCCAGAACACTGTTTTATCATCATTAGAGCTCTTAGCAGATTGTCTTGAAATCTGTTGCTCATGTCTCCTTTACTGCTTTGCGAGTTCCTCAAGGTGACAGTTTCTTCTGCTCAGTATGAGTCCTTGTATCCAGAACAGTGTCTGGCACGCAGTGACTGAGTTAATGAAAGAGAGGTCATGCACTGACAGTATGCACAAGCTGCATGTTGTGTTTAATGACTAGTAACTACATATTTTTGGAAAAGTTTATAAGTAAATTCAGGTAACATTCAGATATCATTTGGATAACATTTGGATGAGAGATGTCTCATCAACATGCTCCATGTTTATAATGCTGCTAACATGGAGACTCTCTGCTTGTCTTCAAGGCTGCGATGGGAAAAGTTCCCCTATCACAGCTTTCAACACTCCCTTCAACCTTATATAAATGTTTCTAGTCAAAACTATCGACTGCATCTGCTTCCTGCCCTTCTATTACTTGCTATTTCAGAACATTATAGAAGAAGAAGATAGGGAGGAGGAAAAAGAATTGGAAGAAGCTGGATGATGAGGGCAAGAAATGAGGAGCCAAAAAATTAGCTTCCTTTTTTCACCAGCCCAAACACTATCCTATCTTAAGACCTGAAAAAAAGGAGACTAACATATGTAAATATTTATCTCTAAAATGGGATTCAAGTGTTATTAGTTATGGGGCAAAGCAAGTAACAACCATGAAAATCATCCATGTAAACTCTCCATTATAACTTCCAAATATCCCTAATTTGAGATTCAGGAAGTTTTAGGAGACCAGGAAATGATTTGTGAAGTCTACTATTCTCTCCTACAGACCAAGGAGTGTTGACAAGAGCAAAGAAAATCTTTTATTCTCTCTCGCCCTTCCTAGGGCCAGCCTGAGGGAGTGCTGATGAATTTAATTTGATAATATTATGCCATGACATTGTGTCAATATGCGATGATGTGTGTGATGGCACAGCGTCATCACGTGGTGACGCAACATCATGACGTAAGACATCACAACGCCAATTAAAGACCTGACTCCAGGAGGGTTTTAAAATTGAGTAACAAATCTACAAATATTTGACTAAGGGCTTGAGATTTACGGTAGTGAAGTAGCTGAACTGTGAATTATAGACTAGAAAGTATTTCTTTGCATGAATTATAACTTTGTTTATTTGTAAATGGCTCCTTTCAGAAATTGTAACCTCTGTTCTTGCAAGGCAAGTAGAGAAATCAAAATATAATTTCATTGACTAGTCTGCACCTATCACAGGTTGTCCCTATGTTAGTTTTCTTTCGTCTGTGGAATGTGAGTTGGTGCTAAATTTAAATATAATTTCAGAATGAGATTAAGAAAATGTAATCTACTCTTAATTTGCATATTTGTTAAAAACTATTTAGTACCTCATAGAGCTTCAGGTAAAATGATTTATAATTGAAATTATATTGTATTGAATGACCTTTGCAGGCATATATTTCATAATAATAATCTTGCACTGAGATTCTAATAATATGAAAATGTTAAAAAGGAGAAATGAATTGCAAAGTATGGCTTACTTTGAGTGTATGTGTGTGATGTGGGGCAAGTTTTTATCTATTTTGTGCCTCAGTTCTACCATTTTAAAAATGAGGAAATGCATTTTTTCCTGATTTTTATGGGATATTATATGGACAAATTTTATACTGTATGTGAATGTTCTTTGTGCTCTTTGTTATGTAAATCTAAGGTAATATTAAATACCTTCTTCAGAGCTACATTGACTCTACTTATGAACTTGAAATCAAATGGGAAAAAATTTGTTAAGTTAAAACTAAGATGGGTTTCATATTTGATATTTCATCTTGACTTTTTTCCTGACTCCTTCACTTCTAGATTTATGTGTTCAGAAATGAATTAGATTCTGAAGAAGAGAACATAGTGATATACACAAGATTTTATTTGTGATATTTAAAGTTTTGGTAGCTCCTTCTGTCCTGTAAATGTGGATATAAAGGTGTATGTTTTTCACTGGTGAAAGGAAGTTTAAAACCCACATTAAAGAGAATACAGTTTGGGCAAAGGTTCAAAATTCCCTCATTCACATGTAGCTTTGGTAGTTCGCAAAGCTTCAAGGGCCACAAGGGTTCTTCACTACTTTTAATTTTCTGTGGTGAAATGAGATTGTTCGTTGTCTTAAAATTCACACTTGCTTCATCACTCCTTCTGTAACTCTAGTAAAAATATACCCAAATTTTGTGCCTGCTGAAAGTGATACAGGACTTTTTGATGGAGTTTGAAATGGTGGCTGATTACTTTTGAATACTCAAGCTCCACTGGTTGGCAGCTCACATCTGCGGCAGAGAAAAACAATTAGCAAATTTGTGAATTAGCTTTGGTTTACACATTAAACAAGGGAAGTGATTCTTTATAACTTTAACCAACAGGCTGTGTCTTGATTACAGGATACTGTTGCTCATTAATAAATGGAACTATTTTTAGATTTTGCCAGTGTTTACACATTTCATTTGCTTGCTTTTCTTATCTCAGTCACCATTATGTACCAGTCTCCAAGACCACCTATATAATCTGCAGAGCCCAGTGTTCAGAATTTATTAAGACTTTCAAGATATTGACAGTAGAACATTAAATCAAGTGTGCCACCATTCTGAGTGCAGGGCCACTCTAAGGGCAGGGCCCTCTGCAACTGCACAGGTCACATGCCCAGGTGGGCCTGCCAGTCATGCATTTGACAGCATTGCATCCTATGTGCTGACTCACTGTTTCCATAATTCATGGCCACTTTGCATTATCTCTAGCTTTGGTTGGATCCCTTAAGGTAAGTTTTGGACTACTTATAATACTCCCTTTTATCTCTCTCTAGATTACAATTACTTTATTTTGGTTAGTAAAGACCTATCATTTCTTGCTTATCTGTAATCAAGAAGAACTCAAAGCAACATATCGTGAAAAAAGTCCCTTAATAACTTAAATTAATGGGACCTAGTTTAAACTTGGGAAATGCCCAGTTCACACGAAAGCTGAATTTCTTAACATTTAAAAAAAATTAACTTTATTATTTTCAAGTTTGTACAGCATGCAGGATAAGTACTTACAACTGTTAGGTCCTACTTGACTTGAAGTGCAGAATGGACCTTTAACAAATTGGAAAGATTTATTTGTACAGAAATCATAAACTCATTACTTTTAATGGTGTGTTTTCTTGACTCTAGATGTAAGGCCAAGCTTTCCTCCCAGAATCTTGTTTACACGAACAATTTATTTTGCAAACATTTTTCTTTAGAGATGGCAAACTTTGATCCTATTCTCCTCTGAATTATTACAAATTTCAAATAGTAGAACCTGAACTAAAGAAGTTTTGGTATCTATTCTACTTTGACAAGAATCTTATGTTTGTTTTTCATATGTGCGTACATATTTGGGAGTGGGTGGTAGCAGATTTAACTTCAAACCATGGCTTGCTGAGACCGTCGGTAACATGAGTAAGTCTTTCACAGTTGCCTTCTTTTTAGACAACTCATAGATTGTGAATTCATTTCCTTTCAGGTTTGCAAGGGACCTCAAAATTCATTGAGATAAAACCCCCACTAATGCATTAATCACCCATACAATATCCCACCAACAGATTTTTCAGTCTATTATCCCCCTATCTAACATGGGGTAACTCACAATCTCATAATCCTACACCATAAATTTCCTTGTTGTGCCAAATCGTAATCTGTTTTCTTTGAACCTGTTGATTCTCATTTGACCTTTTTGGGTCCTTCAGAGTAAGACTATTTTCATTCCATAAAACCACTTTAAAAATATTCAAAGATAGCTTCTTCAGTCTTCTTTCCTCCAGACTAAACACACCTTTATCGAAAAATTTTATTTTAGTTTTTTTAAAGGTCTCTTCATCTGACATGGGATCTTTCTGGTATAAGAAATTGAATGTCCAGTTTGTCTACATCTTTAAGTTTCAACATCACTTTGTCTATATCTTTAAAGTTCAACACCAAAACCCGTATGCAATGTGGAAATAAATTACCAGTGCCAAGAAGAGCATGCCTATGGCCTTACTTCTACGAGATGCATTTCTTGTTTCTGTTACTGCAGAAATTTCTTACTTCTATTATTGCTAAAGGTGGCGCCAGCTTTCCGGTGGTCATACTGTATTGTTGATTCCTATTGAATTTTCTGTCAACCAAGGTTCCTATGTCTCTTTTAAGGCACCTGCCAAGCCTTTTTTTTTTTTAAGATTCTATACTTAAGAAGTTTGTTCTTTGGATCTTAAAGTTATCTCTCTTAAATTTCCATTTGTTTGACTTGACTCATCTCTTCACCCTGTCAATTCTATTTTGGTTCACATAATCCATTTATTATACTGCTCAATTTTTTGTCATCTTCACATTTCAGGACCTTGCTGTCTGTTCATCTAAGTCATTGATAATAATTGGGAACTGAAAAAGGTCAAGGACAGACCTTGTGGCACATTTCTTTGTCCAGGTTGAAATTCTTTTCTTAATCACTAGCCTTTTAAGTACAACTGTTCAACTAATTATAGTTGTCCCAGCATGCAGTCTACATTTCTCCATCTTTCATGTTTGGATACAAAAGGCCCTGCCAGATGTTTTACTGTAATCAAATGTACATTATTGACTGCATTTTCTGACTAGAATAATCCCCTCAAAGAAAGTTATGAAGTTGATGTGTGTAATATAATATATTAAGAAGTTTGTTGAAGATAAAATAGGTACCACAGATAATTCACAAAGTCACTCATCCACAAGGTAGTAAAAGTCAACTGTATTTATCTAAGTAAGAATAAGGTCTGGGTGGATGTCATTGACTAATTCTCATTCTAGGCCCCATTATTTTAGCTGTGTTTGTAATCACCAGAAAGGCACATCATCATAACAACGAATAATAGGAAATGTCAGAGGAGTACTTAAAGAATATGAAATGATAGGTAAATGTTGATTGGAGGATAGAAGATGTTGGAGTGATACAAAAGGATGACGCTCTTAAAAAGTTCATTTACAAAGCATGTGTCTCTCTTTTGGGCATTGATTTTGTCACTGAGGTGGGCCAAGACAGACTTAGAATCCCAACTGGTACTTAATAGTACTGTGATCTGTACCAGGTAGGAAGGGTCTGCCTCTCAGAGTTGCTATAAGGATTCAATGAGAAACTGTCTTAAGTTCCTAGGATATTCCCTGACATAGTATGAACTCAATAATTAATCATATTAATTAAATCAGCAAGCATTAAGTGTATGCTATTATATACCAGGAAAGAGGGCATTTTTTTGTATGATAGCGGAGAAGCAGTGTGTATTTTCCCCTTCTATTTATATATAAATATAGCATAAGTGAATATGTATATACACACACTGTATTGAATCTAGCTGGAGTCTACATGACTGATTAATGAATTTATAATTTTTCAATGAAAAAAGTTGAAAACTTAGACTGAGACCGTATATACAAGGCCAGAACGATTATTTAATCATTCTATAGAATCAAAGGACTTCAGAGATTGGAGAGACCTTGTAAGTAATAAAGTTCAATTTGTACGTATCGTAGATTACGAAACCGAGGCCGAGAGATGATTTCCAAGAACCACTTCGTTTGTCTTAGAGCTAAAACCAGATTTGCTTGTTTTTGATGCATGTTCCTAGTCAGTCAACATTAGATATGTTTCCTGACATATCACTCTGGGCGAATTCCTCAAAAGGACGCGGAACCCTCAAACTTGTGATAAGATATGACAAACTACAAGGTGGAAAATGCTATCTTAACCTGGCCTGCTGATTTGAATATGCAAATCATTAAAACTTAAAAAGATATAGCAACTCTTGGTGGTAGGTATACTTTTTATGTATTTGAAATATTTTGTAGTAAATAATATATTAGTTGTAATTGGTCACCCTTCGTGGGCATAGTTCATCAATATTATGATTTCATGTTATTGGAAATGGCTGATCACATTCTAAAGATTAACAAACAAACCTATTTGGAAAGGGAATTG